AGCCAAACTGTTCATTAACGGGCTAAAATATATAACTTTTTAAAATTACATTTTTTGTCTCTAAACTTTTACAAAGTTTATACTTTAGCCCCCAAACTTATATTTTAGTGTCTAGCCAAAATTTGGACACATCCACTTAAAATTTACCCGAAATATGAAGATGAAAAATCATCTCGATCCTACCTAATCTGACATCTATCTTCAAAGTCCTAACCAAAAATATTTTTTTTACAAAAATAAAAACAAAAAATATTAAAAATAAGTTTAAAGAATAACAAAACTCCAAACAATAGAGAATAAAGGAGAGAAAAAAAGGTATTCATCTTTATGGCATGATGATTTTTGAAGACTGAGTTTTATATATATATATAAATAAATAGATTTTTTAATGTAGAAAACAATATAATTCATTCAGACCAACTAACGATGGAAGAGAGATTGAAAACAAGAAAGATGAATAATTTTGCCCTAGATTTATGAACATTGAGACATTTTTGTGTGAAACAAATACCAATTTGAAAGGCATAATGCACAATCGAATCTTGGTGATTGCGAATAGAGTAAAATGGGTTGGGAGGGTTATCTTTACTTTTACAGTACCTGATCTGGATTACTCGATTACTAGATCGAAAATCGATGGTTTATACAAAAAAATTCATTAAAAATAGTGTTTAACGTTTCCAATGTTACATTTTTATATGTCTAGACTGCATCGATTGTTAAGGGACACATGTCACATTTATAAAGTTATAATTTTTATTTAAATTAAAAAAACATAAAATTATAATTTATTTAAAAAACCCAAATATTATAAATAAAAAATCCAAAATCTCTTAAAACTCTAATTTTAATCCCTTAGCACCTTCGACTGCCACCAACGCCGTCAATCAACAAAACATCCAACATTATTCAATAAAAAAACCACTCAACGGTCAAAACCCCTTATTTTCATGATCGATCGAATACTCAACAATTGTGTAAATTCAAAATTTTGTGATCAACTAAAAGGGGTTCTCCATGATACGATTGTCGATTTTCTGCTATAATTACTTCATGAAGCATGTGGGTTCGGTCGGTGGGGGTTGGGTAGTTGCATGCCATTAGGGTTTCAATCGATGGACGGCGTAAGTGTTGATCGACGATGGTAAGATATTAAAATTAGAAATTTAGAGATTTTTAGGTTTCTTATAATTTTAGAAAATATTGAGTTTTTTTTAAAAAAAATTAAGCTTTTTTAAAAATTATATATTTGACATGTGTCAGATAACTACATTTTTTAACGGACGTTATAGCCTATGTACCTAAAAATATAACATCAGAAACAGTAGACACCTATTTTTAGCGAAATTTTTTATGCTCCTAAAGTTAACTTTGAATATAGTTTGGACACTATTTTTTAGATTAAGACAATTTGAAATTAGTAGACTTGAAAATGATTGTTAGAAAATTTTAAAGTTCAAGGATAACCGACCACAATTAGTTTAATTGTCATCGATAATTTTAGAATTTTAGAAATTCTAGAGTATAAAGATGAGAGAATTTGAGAAAGGAGAGAGTGAAGAAGGAAACATGGGAATTAAAACTAAAAAGATATTTTTATTGTAAATTATTTTGGATCAAGTGATTTTTTTTTATTCTAAATCTAATTCTGATCTAATTTCGGTTATCATTTTTTTGATATTTTTTTTAAAAAAAAATCAACTTTATAAATTTAGACCATATTAAAACTTCTCAAATATAAATCTCATTCTGTAATATCCCAAATTTTGGACTACTGATTAGAATGTAAAAATTTGAAAATTTGGGGACCAAAGTGTAAAGTTGAAAAGTACAGGGATTAAAAATATAATTAAAAGTTATATTTTGGGTTTGTAAATAAGTAGTTCAGCCCAAGACAATTATCGTAGTGGGTTTCAGATTTTTTTTTGGAGAGTGCATAAAAGTTTATTAAAGGATAAAGACCAGAAGGATATTCAGATAGTCGGATCGAATCAGAAGTCTATAAATCGAAGGAAGGTAATTTTGGGTTAGAGAAATTATATTAATATTTTTAATTAGTGGAAGTTAAGTTGGATTGGTGGAAATTGGTGAGAATTTATAGTAGGATAGTGCAATTTAATGATTAAAATGAAATTTTAGAAAATTGGAGGGTCAAAAAGAAAAATTGAGAGATGAGATTTTGATAGTTATTTAATAATATTAAAATGGAAATGAAGGAGTGGCATGGGAGTAAATTTAGGAATTCATTAATGGTAATTTAGGCTTTTTGGCCCAAAATGAATAAAAAAAGTCATTTTTAATTGGTTTTTAAAGGCTAAATTAGGAGATTTTTTTGTTAGAATTCTCTTGAACTTAGATTGGAATGAATTGGAAATGGTGGGCTGAAAAAATACGAAAGAGGAAAATATAAGTTAGATTGTAAGTGTAAATTTAATTAATGAATGGTTATAGTTTCAATTTTATCAATGCATGCCACAATATGGGTTTACTGGAAAGGTTGGCATAGTGTTTTCAAATTCAAAATGATGGTTAGATCATTGATGTTTCCTTGGGTGTTCATTATTAGTGATAGAAGCAGCATGTGAGAATAGAATTAGAATTGCTAAGGCTTTATAAGTGCTTAAGTTGAGTTTGTTGTTACTTCCTGCCCTTTCGAGTTTATTATATTAGTTAAATTATTAATTCGTATTTGAAATTGGATATGTCGGGAAATCGATGGTGTGTAGATCGCGATTGAAAACCAAATAAAAAACGAACTAAAGGAAAAGGATTAAGTTCAAGAATACAACGAAAAATAACATTAAAGTGTAGTGAGGCAACATATAAGTGCAATTAACTTTTTAACGAAACAATACGAGGAAGACTTATGATGAGTCAACCTCGATCGTTTTTATTTAAAAAGTTTTTTTAAAGTAGTAATTGAGCATAGATTTTATCAAATTGTTTTATTTTATAGTGTATGATTGCTTTGGGTATGAACTGTCCAATACAGTGTTTACGAGATTTTATTCGAATTGAATATATGATTATATTACATGCAAAATAGCATATGATTTTTAGTAAGCCTATTGTATTAAGTAAGAGTTAACTGTACAATTGGTATGCCAAGAGGTGGAGTGAACAAGTACAAGTTTACGAGTTGCACCAATATAAATTGCTCATATAACTCGTGTGTCTTAGTGGTGTCGAGGTGGAGTAATCTGGTGCAATGTACAGGGTATTTTATATGTTATATGATACGAAACTATTACTGTTATGAGTCAAGTGTCTTAATGATACACGAAGTGGAGTAACCTAATGCATTTTACACGTTTTACTAGCAGCAGTTTCGACTGCATAGTAGGCTCTCACTCATATGACTCACGTACCATAGATTTCTCATGACATTACAATAGGCAACGATACGAATTAAAAATAGAAAAGTACAAATTTTTTATTCATTGTTAAAGTAAAAGATTTTACTAATTGTTTTTATTTTATTTTATGCATGATTTATTTAAACAATATTTTTAGATACTATTGTTTATTTTATATGTTATTTATCTTCTAAGTTGCCTCACTAAGTGGAATACTTAACGTGTGATTGGTTCACATGTAGGGAAATCGACGTCAGCAAAGTAGAGAGCCAAGCAGAACATCCTACATTTTAGCATACCAGTTCAGACATCCAGAATCAGTATTACATATTTTTGATGTTTTTGATATTCATAATTGACATGTATGCATTTTTGTTTTGATGTTTTGATTCGAATGTCTTAACTCTTTTTGATCATACAATGAATGAATATTATCTTAAACATTTTATATTATAGTTTTTTTCTAAATGTTATTTCAATTATTTTAAATGAGATAAAATTTTATTGACTTTTAAACAGTATATATTTTATACTTTTGATGCGACCTCGTATATAAGACTGCATGCGAGATATAGGTGTTACACACTCCGTCTCTACATCCAACATAAAATGATTATCAATAATCTAAGATACAATGAACTAATCTTATTTAAAAAAAAAACTAATTATATTTCCTTTTATGAAAGGGTACATCCAATTGAAAGTTGAAACATGAAAGGGGGACAGAATGATGCATTAAACGACGAAGCCATTCACTACTTTAATACATGTGTAAGAATAATTCGCCAATGAACTTGGATCTTGCCTCCCATCAACTGCGTCAACCCCATATTTACACGCTCAGATTCAACGGATAATTCTGAAAAATAAAATGAACTTGCTTTTAAAGCTAACCGGCGAACCAAAAATAATAATAATTCATCTGATTATTGGATAAACCTAGTTTACTCCTAGCTTTTAAATGCCACACGGGTATTGCTGTACCAGACAAAAAATAATTAATATGGTACGTAATTTTTCATAGAATATTTATCTGATACATTGTATCCCAACAAACATTACTTCAGTTTCTTTTTAATCTGAGAAAGGAGGACTAATCCCCCTTAGCCACGTAATTGGTTTGGTAATTTGGTCAGCTTTCACACTCTCAAATCAACTTTTACCCAGGTGAACAATTACCCCCTTCTTCCTTGAACTTACCCAAACGACCGTTACTGACGCGTGGAGTTCTGAATTTAATTTAAAACGATTCCCCGTCAGAATCGTTGGGTCAAAGCTTTTATATAAAGCCAACGGCTAGATTACCGTTCCTCCTCCACTCTCTCTCATCGCCGGCGATTTTATTTTGGCGAAAAGATCGTGCAGATCGCAACAGAAACGAAAGAAGCAACGAATTCGCAGGAGTAGTTTTGGATCATCAAAGCCACGGTTGTTGTTGTTGCTGCTTTTAATTTAAAAAGCTCCCATTTTTTAACATTTGCTTTCGATTCTTTTTCCTTCGGTGAAGAATCCGCTATCCCATTTTTAACCCTTTTTTAACCTTTACGAAAGTAAATTTATTACAGCTATGGTCCGATCTCTCTGACGTCCAGTTCAGGGATTGCATTTTTTTGAGTTTCTTTCTTCGTTTTTTAATTTCCTTCCCGAACAGTGAAGGGGGGCATGTCTGTTGCTGGCGTTGCCTGGAGTCCGGTTCGTCCAGACCCGGTTCACTCCCTCGGTTATTGCGATAACCAAGCGGCTGAGTCGATCTTGTTCTACCTTTCCGTTGCCGGTTCGGTGATTCCGATGCGGGTTTTGGAGTCGGAGTCGATAGCCTCGGTCAAGCTCAGGATCCAGACAAGCGAAGGGTTCGCGCTGAAGAACCAGAAGCTCGTTTGCGGCGGCAGGGAGTTGACTCGCAACGACTCGCTCCTTAAGGATTACGGCGTAAAAGGTGGGAACGTCTTGCATTTAGTTTTAAAGCTGTCCGATCTTTTGCTTATAACCGTACGGACAAGTTGCGGGAAAGAACTCGAATTGCATGTTAACAGGAATAGAAATATTGGGTATTTGAAACAAAGGATAGCTAGGACAGGAAAGGGCCTTCTCGTGGCTGTCGGTAAACAAGAAATATTCTTCCATGGGGGGAAAATCGACGACCAGAAACTAATAGATGATCTATGTACATATAATGATGCTGTGATTCATTTGGTTGTTCAGAAATCAGCCAAAGTTCAAGCTAAGCATGTAGAGAACGATTTGGAGCTCTTGGTTGTGGCCGAGTGTGAGTTAGATGACAGTAGAAGTAGTGTAGAGGGAGAAGAAAATCAACCCGAGGGGCATCAGATTGTGGAAAATGAGCCAATTGTTAGAGATTTCTGGCTGGAACCTGTTTTTGTTAAACCCAGGGTAAAATTGCCTTCTTTTATGTGGGATATGATTCACTCCACATTTGATGGTTTGGAGATGGGGAACCAGTCGATTCGATCATCAGAAGGGACCGGAGGGACTTATTTCATGCAAGATAAATTGGGGCTTGACTATGTTTCAATTTTTAAGCCTATAGACGAGGAGCCGATGGCTGTGAACAATCCACAGGGGTTACCTCCGTCCACGAATGGTGAAGGGCTGAAAAGGGGTACAAGGGTCGGAGAAGGAGCGGTGAGAGAAGTGGCTGCTTATATATTGGACCACCCCAAGAATGGACCTCGATCTTCGTCGGGTGATGAGATGATGGGGTTTGCTGGTGTGCCCCCTACCTGTATGGTTCGATGCTTGCACAAAGGATTTAACCATCCAGATGGGTTTGAATCTGCACCTGAGAATGTTAAGGTTGGATCATTACAAATGTTTATGAACAACACTGGGAGCTGTGAGGACGTCGGTCCTGGATGTTTCCCCGTGGAGGAAGTGCACAAGATCAGCGTGTTCGACATACGAACAGCAAATGCTGATAGACATGCTGGGAATATCTTGATTGGCAAAGGAGAAGATGGCCAGACTGTGCTTATTCCTATCGATCATGGCTACTGCCTCCCTGAGAATGTAAGTATACTAATATCATTTTGATAATGACATGCTTGACACATCCAGTATTAGACGGATACGAGGAGACGTGATACATCTTGTATAGGCTTGAAACCTACTAAGAAAAGAAGCAACTGGTCGTTTATATCTTTGAACTAATCTGCTTTTGCTTTGTTTACAGTTTGAGGATTGCACATTTGATTGGGTTTACTGGCCACAATCAAGGAAGCCCTACTCTCAAGACACCATTAACTATATAAAGTCACTGGATGCTGAGCAAGATATTGCACTTCTGAAATATTATGGATGGGATGTTCCTGTTGAGTGTGCTCGCACGCTGCAGATCTCCACTATGCTATTGAAACAAGGGGCTGAGCGAGGCCTCACGCCTTCTACCATAGGAAGCATCATGTGCAGAGAAACCGTGAATAAGGAATCCGTGATTGAGCAGATTGTTCGTGAAGCTCAGGACTCCTTACTTCCCGGCATGAGTGAATCGGCGTTCATGGCAAGTGTCTCTCAAGTCATGGATTCTTGGCTTGACATGCTCACAAACTGATGCCAACCTAGAATGCTTATTGTACGTAGTCACCTAATGACGATGGGTCCATTTCTGTATGGACCTCGAATTTACGCGATGGCTTATATTCTTTTACACGAGCCTGAAGCTTTTCATGTTTTTTTAATTTTTTTTCCTCTCTGCTTTGTTTCACTCTGTCAAGTTATTACCATATATCAGTATCGGTCGAAGATATGTGTTCTAAGATTCTATATATAGATTGCAGGATCATAGCTCCAAATGAGCTACAGAACTGTAAATATTGTTAAAAAAATATTCATGGAATTAAGGTTATTGTCATTTGCAAATGACATACAATATGTATATGTTGCACCTATTTTTGTATATACCGTTTCTTACCATCATCTCATCTTTTTCATTTCTCATAAAGCATTACATTAAGATATCCAATCTGTATATCAACTCACCGGAGTCGGAATAAGATCGAATCCAACCATTCGATCGCCGTCTATTACTGTTACAGTCGAAATTTTGAAGATTTACAGGGTGTGGTGGGGGCTGCTGCAACTTATTTGATGACCTCTTGGCTATGAGTATAGCTCTATGGTCAGTTGGCGTCTCAATTATTGTAAGTTTGGCAAAGTGTTTCCCCACATCTGCTGCCCTCTGCCATGAAACGGTGTTTTTCCCCCAGTGAGAACAAGGTACAAATTTGCTTTCTTTCCTACCAATTTTAACACCATCTTGGAACAAGTTGCAGTTTTGACAAATAAGACCGGTGACCGTGTGGAGAAAATGCATCTTTATCTTACCTAAAGAGTTTGACTCGAATGGCAGGAGCATTTCACTTGAATTTACTTTTATCTATTTTATTTGAGTAAAAACTACACAGATAATCGAATTATGTAAATCTATGGTGACATTTTAAACTTAGCATAATGGTAATTTAGTCCTCAAAGTCTGTTTTTATGATTGTATGTGTTATATAAAAATATATAAATTTTATCTGAAAAAATTAAAATGATGAGATGTGATTTTTTTTAAATCCATAAATAATTTATTAATTATAAATTATGCTTAATAAAAGTTATAAATTTATAAATAATAAATTTTATAATTGTAATTTATGTCCAAAAATATTTTTTAATGGCAAAGCTTTAATTTTAAATTTTAAATTTTTTAAGTTTGAATTAAAATAATGTTAAATTTACTTTTTCTTCACAGAATACTCCATTTATCTGAAGTTATATGAAACTCTAAGGGTCCATTTGTTTCACGAAACAGATTCCGGAAAAAGAATTCCGTAAAATGAGTTACATTTCTTGAAAAACATTTTCTAGAAATCATTTTATGGTGTTTGGATGATGTTGTGTAATTTATTTTCTATTGGTTGAATTTTTTAAATTCTTTTTTATAAACATCAAATACTATAAATAATATCTTTTATTAACAAAATAATAATATCATTATTTTTGAAATATTAGAATAATTTATTTAGTATTATTTAAAAACAAAAATATTAAGATTATTTTATTTTATTAAAATAAAATTATTATAAATTATATTAATTATTTATTAAAACAAGAATAATATATTATTAATTATATTAATTACTTACTAAAATAATAATATTATAAAAATATTAAAATTATAATATTAAAATAATAATATTATATTATATTTTTATTAAATTAATAAATAAAATTAATTTTATTAGTAATTTATTATAATATTAAAATTAATGTATAATATTATATATTATAATAATATAATTATTATTATAATATTTTTATATTATTAAAAATTATCAATAAATATAATTTAATAATTAATATTTTTATTAAAATATAATAATATAATATATTAATATTAAATATATAAAATAATAATTTTTGAGTGTTTATGTTTTGAATTGAAAAGTTTGTAAAATGACTTACGAAAAATGAGACTGCAAGTCATTTTTAGAAAATGCAAAAGAAATTTAGTTGACCAAGAAAATGAATTACGTTGATCATCTGTTTTCCGCTAATCAAACACTAGAAAATGAAAAAAAAATATTCAAAAACCAATTATATGAAACAAATATACCCTAAAAGTAAATTTCAAAAACACAAAAATGATCTAAACCAAAGACTTGCCGGAAACGTAAAAAAAAAAATTGTTTCCAATTTTTGTGAAGTAGATGCAGAAACAAATGAGTTTCGTTTACAGTTAAGAACCTAAATCTGAATTTGGGCAAGAAAAAAATATCAAATCCAATATTGTCAAGATAAAAAAAATCAACTAAAGACAAATCTGCAAACAATAATTAAATCCCATAAAATTTTTACCTTTACTGTTTTACATCACTTATAGTACTTTCCCTTCTTAAATACGGCGTTTTTATCCAAAAATATCTAAATATATATTATTTATATGTCAAACATCATTTCTCTAATATTATTGATTTAAAATCCTTTGGCAATAAAATGGGATTGACCAAACGCGCCTTGTACACGTAGATGAAAGGTGTGCGTCATCAAGTGCGCCTTCCGTCCGAGCTGGCACTACAGGGATAAAGCGTGGATCCTCAGGCATTCCTTCGATTTAATACCACCTAACCATCCCCTCCCCTTTAATTCCACCTGTCGCCCTTCTCCTCTCCACTTATAAATACCCCATCATACAACCCTCAAACTACACCAAAAATTTTCTCATCTTCCTTTTATCAATCATTTTAGTAAACTTTAAGTAAGTTTTGTTATCGTTTTTATAAAGTAAAACTTTTATTATTATATTATAATTATTTAATAGTTTATTATTTTATTATATTTTATTATACTAATTTTTTATATCTTTTTACAGTTATAAAATGAAAAGCGGGTTACTGCGTTTAGATGAAAATTATATATCTAGTCATTTTATTGATACGATAACAAATTTAAATTGTGTTATTTTAAATATTGTGAATGTTTTATTTATTTATTTATTTTAGTATTAGTTTAGATTTTAATTTATATACTATTTATTTAATTTGGTGAATGACCATATATTAGATCCATTTATTCACAACGTTAAATTAGAGATAATGAATCGTGTATGACCGTATTTAGCCGAGGCTGAATTCGGTTACATAGCGAGATATGAAGGGCACTGTAACCTTAAACTTCCCCTTATTTATGCACTGATTGAGAGATGGAGACCAGAGACACACACACATTCCATCTTCCATGTGGGGAGTGCACTATTACATTTGAGGATATTTTTATACATTTGGGGCTTCCGATATATGGGGTTGTTATTTCTGGTGTGGCAAATGTTGATTAGCATTCCTTGTGTGAGGAGTATCTTGGAGGTATCCCGCCTCCTTTCAACGGTGCTCGAATACCGTTAGCAAGGTTAGCTATAAATTTTAAAAATTTGAGTGAAGACTGTTATGAGGAACAAGCTAAAAGATTTGCTCGAGCTTGCATATTACAACTCATAGAAAGGATCTTGATACCCAACAAATCTCGCAACCAAATTCATTGTATGTGGTTGTGTCACCTTGATGATTTCACGTTACTGGCTTAGCAGTTTTGGTATCTATGTATAGAGAAATGTGTCGGGCAACTTGTCGTAACCGGTTTTCGTCCGGGCACAAATTTTTTACTTGGCGGGAAAAGTGATGTGAATAAATTAATGATTTTGATTTTTAAAAAAAAAATATTTTGGGAGTCGCCATCGGCCTTTTGGGTCAGGTAGGTCGAATACCTAAAAATCAACTTTTAAAAGAGTTTTTAAGAAAACATCGATTAAAAGATAAATTGATATGCGTTTTAACCAAAAATTCATTCTTTTTAATAATAAAAAGGGATTCGTGGTTGGTTACGTTTAGGGAAGGATTAGCACCCCTACAACGCCCCAAAATTGGTACTTTTTAATTATAAATTGTCTCTATTATTAGAAATTAAAAATTCAAAATATATTTAATTTATAATCCTATTATTTTAAAATTATAATTATGAAATATATATATATATATATATATATATATATTTATAAATAAAATATTTATTTATTTAAAAATATCAGAAAAGGACTTCTAGGTGCCTTAAGATAGCTCTTTTCTTTGATATATAAATAAATAATTTATATAATTTATAAATAGGATATTTATTTATTTAAAAATATCAGAAAATGGACATCCAGTTATTTTAAGACTTCCATTTCTTAATATTAAAAAATAAATAAATATTAAAACATGATTAAAATAAGTTAAAAGTAATTAAATAAGATTTTAATAAATAAAATAAATATTTTTTATTATATAAATATATATTTATAATTAAATAATAATAATAATAATTAAAATTAAATATATAAAATTAACATATAACTAAACAATGAACAAAATTAAAACTATAAATTTAAAATAAATATATAAAATAAATAAAAATTGAAATTAGTGACTAAATTATAACTTAATAGATTTAAATACATAAATCAATATTATTTAATTTTTCAATGGCTAAATATGTTATTCTACCTTTTATTAATTTAGTGACTAGAATAAAAATTATATCAAATTCGTATATCAAATTAAAATAAGTTTAAAACATGTATTCGGGATTAAAATAAAATTAATTAGAATTAAAGGACTAAATCAGTTATTTGTCTAAAATATTTATGTCAGTGACTAATTTATAAAGAAATAACATTAAGAGATCAAATTAAAAAGTTCATAATTTGATTTCGGTGACTATAATATAAAATTACAAAATTACTGGACTACGTACGGGGTTTAACTTTTAATTAATTACAGACAGACCCCTCCCCAAAACGACGTCGTTCGGGGAGGGGTATTTAAGTCCCAAACCCCACGGCCTTAAGGCCATTTCTCTCATTTCTCACTTTCACTCTCTCTCTCTAACTGAGAGAGTTATAAAACTCTCTCGCTTATCTCTAAAACAGAGAGAAGCGGTACCGGTCGGTAGTCGTTCGACGGTGCTAACCCCGCCGCCGGCCACCGCATTCGGTGGTCGGAAAATTTTTTTTACCCCAAAATATAGATCGGACCATCCTATTGATGGTTCCGATGACCGTTTTTCTTAAAACACTCCCGATCGG